CTGCTGAATTATCACGTGCGGTGAAGGAAAATATAGTGAGGAAACTTGCATATTTTGGTAATAATAAAAAAAAATATTTCGAAGATATGTGAAGTTCGCCAATCCGCAGTGGGGTGGAATATGTCCTGTACGGAGGAGACCTTTGCCCAGCAGTGGGACATGTATAGTTCGATACTTTACTTTTTTGTCAATAAAAAAGTATGTAGACAAACTGTCCACCCCAAAATTTAATAGGAGATGGCTTACATTTTAAAGTCTACTGCCAGAAACAATTAGCAGCCACCCTTGCATTATTTCGGACATAGTTTAGTAGAAGGCATTTATAGGAAATTCTTTCGTTCCACTTAACAAGTTGGTCCGTAACAGGTGTCGCATTTCCACGTCACGATTTTGTACCATCCCGTTCGTTCTTTGTTTCCATTTCCGTTTGAAAAATGCTTCAAAAATATCTAACAGCAGACTCGAACTACATTGGTGCTCAGAAAATGTTCCTGCATTAATCTAAGCTGTTGTAACTGTCATCCGCGGCTTCTCTCGTGTGGGTAACGTGTCTATCAAAATATAAATCGATGTTTGATTACGATGAACATTAAGACGCTTTTTTTTGTGAAAAGTTACCAAGCGAGCTGGCGGCTCACCTGATGCCTCATCTGCTTAACCTTTTGAAAATTGGGCTCTGGCTCACCTCACCAGACGAAACGCGAACGTATTTGTTACACTTCCACTTGACGCTGGTCTTCTGTGAGGTCGTGGTACTTACCAGGACGAGCCCATTTGTGCAACAGCCGAGGCTGCTGCGTGGCCCTACCACAGCCGGCCCTAACACACTGGAACCGGGAAGAACATTAATTATGTAAATCAAAGCGATTTTGAGTAAAAAAGATTTCAATGCACAGATAGACAAAGGGACATTTTTATAGTACGTGGAGACAGAAGCCGAAGGCAGACGACATACATTATTATAATAACCCAAGGGAGAACTACTACAAGTAGTCTGCTTACGACCTCAGATCTATTTTAATGTATCCAATATTTTGCAGAATTATATTGCTAAAATTACCTCTGATGCTTGTTTTGAATTGCTTACTCAACTTTTAAATTGATCTAATTATCCTTTTGTATCTTGTCACGTTATATACACGGTGTATGTTGTACTGTAATGACATGTTTGTTTGGTGCACCTATTTTATCATACTCGTAGGCAATGTTTAAATAATATTTCTAAAGCACTTAAAAATAATAAAAATACCAGATCAATAAGATGCATCTCCCTCTCTCTCTGCCTCTCAAACATACACACCCACACACACAAACACAAACATACACTTCTACGTGCACGCACGCACCCACACTTGCACACACAAAGCACAAACGCACAAACGCACGCGCTTGCGACCGCGCGCACATTCACATAAACATTTAACATTTGTTTTTTATATTTATTTTTCCAGTTGTGTATTACATACACAAAAAATGAAAATTATTGTAACTTCTTAAATACTTTTTGAATTATCTTTTGTAATGTGATGAGATTGTATGCTGTGAAGTTCCCGAAAAAAAAAAACTAAGTTTGCAAACTCGGTACTAACTAACAGCCTATACATGTCCCATTGCTGGGAAAAGGCCTCCTCTATACAGAGGGTATCAGGGCATAGTCCACCACGCGGCCCCACTGCGGATTGGTGGACTTCACACATCTTCGAAATATATATTTTTTTGTTATTATTTCGAAAATATGCAGGTTTCCTCACGATGTTTTCCTTCACCGCGGAGCACGTGATAAGTCAGCACTTAAAGTTAAAAACTTCATTGGTGCCGGCACCGGGGATCGAACTCGGGTTGTTCGAGTATATTGAATTAAAGGCGAGCGCCCGGACACAGAACTATCACGGCTCAACTTTCATATACGCTACAGAAAATAAAATAAACATTTGAAGAGTAGTACTACTGAAAGCTAGGCACCGTAACTATAATAGCTGCATTCGACACAGAACCGATCTTCGAACCGGCAGGTAAAACATGTCAAAAACGTGAAAAATCTAACGCTTTTACAATACTTAACCTCAATAGTGGTAGATTGATCATGGTATCCGGAAACACCTGTGGGCTGTACAAATATTTGTCCTGTTTAAGTATCGCGTCGTTCTAGCCAAGAAATTTGCAAATGTGCGCACAAAACTTATCCCCTCATCGTCCAAAGCGTCGCTACAATTACTGAAATAGTTTCAGCACATAAAAGCATCACTAAGCATTTCGAATGAGTTAGAGAGTTGGCCTGGAGTGATTTAGTAACGAGAAGTATTTCAAAGTTTCCTCGTATTCGCTTATAAAATAAACAGTTATAGATTTAATCCGCGGTTTCGCTCTCGTGCGTCTAAAGTTTTTCTTGTATTCTTGTATTAACTGATTGTTTTGCTTTCAGTCCCGAGACTATTAAAGCTTCATCTGACGCAGAACCGGTGGGCTAGCCAGAACCCACGGGTTTGTTTCGACAGTTTTTAATGGAGTCGACACTAGTAGAGCACCGATCCTCAGTGTTATATCTCTAACTGCCAAAATAACAGGACATTACGGTTTGTTATCTTGCACGTTTAGCGGTAGGTTGACGTGCAAGATAACAAACCGTTAACAATGTAGAATTTATGATTCCTTGATGAGTTTATTTCTAACTGCCTAGTGTTTTGTTCCGTCCACATTCTGATTGGTATAGTATTATGTGTGTATTAAATATCTAGTTAGTGCAACCGTGGTGGGGCCACGCATAACTGTGGCTTTCAATTCAATTATTTAGTCATTCAGAAGAACAATGTAACCATCGTCCATGTTTGTTTTAAAGTCGTAGATTGTAATCCATAATTCTATATCTTAGTAAACGTTAATGTAAGATAATTGCGTAAAGACATGCTTTTTGAAACGTTGATAGCGCCATTTTTGTTAGCCCATCCAACTTAAACGTTAGAACAATGTTAGAGATTAAAAATCGCATTGGTTTAATTTGTTATGCTTTTCTAGTACAATCTAAAAAGTCGTTTACACACGTTTTAATTTATCAGCGTTTCTAAAAACATCAGACTACTAATAAATATCGTAGGAATATTTAAAAATATACATTTTTGTTATGTTTGCGGTATATTAATTATATACTGCCATAAGGATTTTCCATCATCTATTTTGTCATGTCATCATGATAGTCAACGTGACGACGATGACAAACAATAATAGTATTACGACAATGATTAATAATTATACTTTCATATTGTACTCGATTATATTCTGAATGAACTACGCACATACATTTTATAAATAAAATGAACCAATAAAATAAACGCTTATACGGGGCATATATTGCGTTTTCTTTTGATCTACTAACTGTGCTCAGGAAATTTCTTATTTCCTGTATTTTTGCCTTTGACGCCTTATTCTCTGTTCTACATAATATTCCACTTTTATGGAATGTTTTTTTGAACGATATACTTTTTCGAACGATATTTTATTATATACAGTAGGTATGATATATTATTTTATGTTTATTGTGTTTTGTACAATGCTGATTAATGATTCAGTTTCACTATTCTTGGCATAATTGCTGGCTATAGGACTATACAAGCTGCTGCCCGCGACTACGTCTGCGTAGAATAGGCTGAAGGGGTAACATTCAGACAGAAAGACAGATATACATAAAATGCATATAAATTACAGTCTATGTCTTATTCTGATGTATAAGCTATATTATTGTAAAGTTTCATTAAAATCCATTCAATACTATTTGCTTTAAAGAGTAACAAACATCCATCCATACATACAAACTTTCGCCTTTATAATATAAGTGAGGATAGACACCTCAGGTTGAATTCCTACCTTGAAACTTACATTAAAACATTTGCCAAATATTTTGTCGTGTCTTTTTGATTAATGACTAAAGATTCTATAATTTTTCGTCCTTTTACGTACCCCGTTTGTGTTTGTGGATCACTTTTTCTGTATTTCTGGAGTGGTGGTTATAAATGACAATACACTACAAATGGTACATAAATGTAACATACTTTATTTTGCATAATGAATAAATAACAAAGTATTATGTAAATCTAATTAAATGTACGACTTAGTCATATGCTGTGTTTATTATCTAATTTAAATAACTAGTTGTGTATTTAAAATAGTCGACAACAGTACGTGACATTGAAAACAAGTGTGCCGATCAAACATAGACCTAGCCGAGAACTTAAGATGTAATAACAATGGAACCACTCTATAAATGGCCGTATATAAATATGTAAACACTACTTGTGTTATGTTGATACGTAAAGTGGGACTTAATGAGGAAACGTACTGTTGAATTATATTACATTATGCTTTATGTTACTTTACTTAAAAACCGCCCAAGTGAGAGTCGGACTCGCGGATGAGAGGTTCCGTACCATTATCTATATATAAAACGGCAAAAAAGGAGCTCCATTTAAATATTTATTCTGTTTTTTTTTTGTATTTTTTGTTATAGCGGCAACAGAAATACATCATCTGTGAAAATTTCAACTGTCTAACTATCACGGTTTATGAGATACGGCCTGGTGACAGAGGGACAGACAGAAAGATAGACAGACAGCCAGTGAAGTAATAAAGTTCCCGTTTTACCATTTGGGTACGGAATCCTAATAATATGTCGGCGCAGTTAAACAACACGCGTACATGTATGAATTATCTTATATAAGCTCATTTCTGGTATAACTAGATGTTAAAACTAATGGAAGCATCCCTATCCTATCTGTGGGTCACACAAATAGCTGTCCCGTGTGGGGATCGAACCGACGACCCCCGACGCCGAAGCCAATACCTTGGCAACTGCGCCACGGAGTATACTTAAGTAAAAACCAAAGGAATTTGATTTCTATTTATTGAATCTCCTAGTATACAGAGTACGATAACTTATTGTTGATTCTCATCAAAATATATAACAGGCAACAAATTAATACGCGTGGCTCTTTCAAAAGTGATTCGGATCATTTGTTCATTTCCCTCGGTAAGAGCTGGAAGTAGGCGCAAGGGTCTCGAAGGGCGAAGAAGCTCGGCTCGAAGCACTTCGGTTTGTAGCTTTGCTGCTTCAGGGTGTAGCGTCTGAGCAGCCACGCTAAGCCAACCTTCACCTGCAGGCGAGCAAATCTCGCACCTGGAACAGACAAGATTTGTTTTACAGTTTGTTTTGTAAATAATTTTTTTTTATAGTGCTAATCTCTGCATTTAAGATTAAAGATGAAAAAAATTTCTAGAACAAAGGAACGAAAAGTTTCTCGCCGCTGGCTGTGGGAATCGAACCCACGTCTTGGGGCCCTGACGCTCCAGCGACTAAGCTAAACGGCTGATTGCCACACCGACGAAATTCTCAACGCCTTTTATCTACATTGTATTTTAGCTTTTAAAGAATTGTTTGTATGCCGGAAAGTATATAAAAATGGGTGCGCCAAGCATTTAACCATTCATATTATCAATATTCAAATATGCATAATACTAGAGTAAACAAAAGAAATCTAAAAGTTATAATTTATTAGCATGATTATTTGGACGCAAGATTAAAAGTTATAATTTGTGGAAAAATGGGAGAAAAGTTCTCGCCGCCGTGGGAACCGAATTATTCGTCTTAAGGGTAGAGATTAGCACTATAAAAACTTAATATAAAATTTGAAACGTTAAAAGTTATTTTTCTCCCTATAGCCCGATTTGCGTAAGCGCTAAGCTACTGGTGATAAAAACTTTTGAGAAACAGCATTTACTTAAATAAAATTTATTATCATACTAGCGACCCGCCCCGGCTTCGCACGGGTGCAATGTATTATACATATAAACCTTCCTCTTGAATCACTCTATTTAGTAAAAAAAAACGCATCAAGATCCGTTGCGTAGTTTTAAAGATCTCTTACGTACATAGGGACAGACAGACAGCGGGACGACTTTGTTTTATACTATGTAGTTATGCACAGCAAAGAGACGTTTACATTTCAAGAGACATTTTATCACAGTCACTCACTTATTTTGCCTTCCTGGAACCCCTCCACTAACATTTAAACTTTATGGTATGGTATTAAAGTTCAAATTGACTTTTAAGTATTATTACGAATCTTTTGTACGGGAATATAGAAAAGAGTTGTTTTTAGACTTTTTCAGGCAATTTTTTAAATTTTTCTCTCCGTAAGAACAATCTTCCTACTTCAAGGAATATTATAAAAAAAAGTATTAGCGAAATCGTTCCAGCCGTTCAAGCGAAATAGGGATTCATTTTATATATATATAGATATAAGAATTAAAAATTAAACGTAGATCTATTTCATGGGTGACAAGTTTTCCTTTAGATCGCATAGATCTTTGAAGTTTTATTCACGGCTGAATAACGAGTTGAATAAGAAGTTTATTAAAACAAATAAGATTAACAGACGCAAATATAATTATTGATGCTATAGTTTATTTATAAACGTGCCTGCCAGTAAAATCAATTAGCTCTTCACGCCGTAATGACGTCGTGGGCGAGGGAATAAGTTTGTTTGAAAAAAGTGATAGGTTATATTTAAAAAAAGAAAATTCATCGTAGCCACGAGGGTAAATCCGCTAGTAAAGTCTACATGCATATGCTTGTTAGAAATACTTACCGAGACATATACGATTTCCTTCACCAAATGGCAGGTAGCTGAACTTTGGGATTTTCGAAACGTTTTCCGGAGAGAATCTCTCTGGATCAAATACCTCTGGGTTAGGATAATACCTCTCGTCTCTATGTATCGCGTAAATGGGAATCACTGCTATTACGTCTTTCTCCATCTTCACTTGTCCACATGGCAGAACTGTGTCCCTAGTGCATCTCCGTTGAATGACCCCTACCGTGGGGTATTTACGAATTGCTTCATTCATAACCATATCGAGGTATTTCATCTCTTCGATTTCGTCGAAAGTAACGGTCTCTTTGCACTTATCGAAAGCTGCATCGATTTCTTTTTGCAGCTTTTGCAATATCTCAGGATTTCCGGCGAGCTCTAGGAGCACGAAATGCATTGTGTGCGCTGATGTATCCGCGCCTGCGATAAAAAAGAAAAACGCCTGTGCCGCCATCAGTTCATCTGAAGGCTCCAGTTCGTAGCCAGTTACTGGATCTTGCATTACTCCTTCCTGCTGCAGCTCTAAACACGTGTCGACAAAATCATGCCTCTTCTGGTGGACGGCGCGTCTTTCCTCCAACACCTTTTTCACAACACCGATGAAAAAGTCCTCGTGATCTCCGAAGACTTTTAATCTGAGCAGCTTAAAAAGTTTCGGAAACATGTTTGATATTGTGAATCTTAGTATGTTGGTAAAGGTCGGCTCTACGGATCGCCAGGCCATGTCTAGGAACGGCGAGTCCATTGTGTTTTTTGTGTTCGTATCGATTCCGAAAACCGAAGCAGCGATGGACGCTGTCGTGTAGGTGTACAGAGCAGTGAAAGGCTTTTCTTTCGCCTGTCGATTCTGTTGTACGAAATTAACGAAGTCCCGAGCGCACCGCTCCATTATGTAGAACATGTTTTTAAGCTTCTTCGATGTGAACACCGGCGACAGTTTGTGCCTCATTATTCTCCATCGTTTGTAATCCTCCATAAAAAGGACGTTGTCCGCCAGTAGATCATTCTCGTTAGTGACTAAGCCGCGGCTGTAGAAGCTTTGAAAGTCGCCCTGCAGAACCGCCTGCACGTTCTCCAGATTCCTTAACAACAGCCCCGGCTTGTTGCCGACGTGCACACCAACATTTTCGCAGTTTGGATGCGCCTCATAAATGTCCTTATACAGCTCGGCCAGCGACTTTTTCCCCGTGGCGAATTTCAAAGAGGTGCCATTCACTTCTGGGATGTTCCTCTTCCGCCAATAGTTCCTGTTTTTGACACTGTATTGCAAAATGACCAATAAAACTGCACATAAGGGAAACAGTATTAAGTACAACATTGTTTTACAGAGATATAATTTTAAAGCGACACTAGCACAATCAAACAACGATCATGTCTAACTGACGCGTTGCAATGGATATGGTCGCGAGTTAAACATAAACATAATAAGTATAAATCACTTCTCCAATTAAGTGTGAAGTATTAAGTGTAAGCCGTAAAGATAATGATACACACACTACGTAATGGACACAAGTAATGACTGTCTTTTCTTATTATATTCAAACAATTTAATTGACCGTTAGCGTTGGATAATGGGGACAGGATATTTTGAATACTTGTTGTTGAGGCGCCATCTTATTGTAGATTGTACATAACTCCGACGCGATAGTTAAATATATATAGGAAAAGGACCAGAAGATAAGATAAGAACGTGAATGACTTTCGAGTAACCATCATATTGGATGCTCATTAAATTTTTCAATTAAAACTAATAAGGAAATGAAAGTGTATAATCGACTTTACATGAGCCATTTATGTAGGCGAAAACAAATATATTATATTGTTCTCGATACCTTCTCAAGAATTGGATTTTAGTTTATCTGTAAGGACAGAATTAGTAAAAATATTTATTAAAATGAAATTATGTATTTTTATGAAATAAATACTTTCGGCGTAGGCAAATTCAAATGTCGTGTTCAAATTCAAATTTTAATATCTTAATTCAATATACATAGAAGCATTACACTTACTTTTTGATTGTCAAAATACTACTAACGGTTCGGAAAGAAAGCCACTGGTCTGAGTCAATGAAAGAAACTCAGCGGGACTTTTTTTTACCAACATTTGACAAAAACATGTTTACAATTATTTTTAATAAATTAAAGTCCACTTGAAAGAGCTTGTAGTGATCAATTAATTTCCAGAGAATGTTATCATTTAAATAATCACAAATATTACTCGTATTATACTTGTATTTACAAGATTCCACATAACTGAACATAAATGAAACTACTTTTACGGTGGTAGGGCTCTTCTGTTGCACGAATGGGCAGGCCAGTCCGGGTAAGTACCACGACCTCACAGAAGACCAGCGTAAAGTGGAAGTATGACAAATACTTTCGCGTTTCGTCTGGTGAGTGAGGTAGCCGGAGCCCAATTTTCAAAAGGTTGTCAACGCATCTGTAACCCTCGGGTGTGGCAAATGTCCATGGGCGGCGGTATTCACTTACCATCAGGTGAACCGTCTGCTCGTTTAGCAACTTTTTACATAAAAAAAAAATATCGTGTTTATTTTTTATTTTAATTCTCGTCGTTTCGAATTCTTTACAGTGTTCATGATCATGGGACAGACTGAGGTGCTTGACGTCTTAAAGTCATAGTTAACTATAGGACTACAGTCAGTTTTTAAAAATATTAATTTTGTGTCCGATGTATGCAGACGGTGCATATTGTGTCTTGTTTTGCACTAGGTTAGTTTGGGCCTAGAGATATCGATGCTTATGATGAAACTTTGTGGGTTTAACTGACCCTATATACTTTTATGAACATGTTATTGACACACTGACAGTTAAGTAAATCATATTTGATTCGAATTTCGTAATAGATTATTGAAAGGCTTGATGATGATATGTTAAAATGTTAAAATGTTGAAAAATTCCGTTGAACTTTCGACGGTGTGTGGGGAGAGTTCAATATGAAACTGTTTATAATAACACATCCGAAGTTTAGTGAATATCGAAATGTCCTTGATTTATTCCGTTAAATCGATCGACTTACTCCAAAGGCGAGCGGAAACTTGGCTCGTTACTCAGTCACCTGTGTAATAACCCGCCAACTTTCTATGTAAGTTAACAGTCCGACAACTATTGACTTTGCTGTGGTAGAACTATTCATAACTGAATGCGGTGTTGTCAAACTATAAAATAATACGAAAACACGGGAAGCATTGAGATAACAGCACAAAGAAAATGTCGAATATACACGCCGATAACGGATGGCTCTTGTTGGCTTAATAAAATTATTTCCTAAAATAAAAATCCACATATTTGAGCGTTGGTTGTAATAAAGAGAAAATACTTTGTCGGTGTCTGTTTCTTCTTTAGTATTTTCAAATTGCGAAGTATAATCTACTGTAACTTAACCCCCCCCCCCCCCCCCCCCCCCCTTTTGTGCATATAAATTTATATAAAATTATATATTTTTCCCCGTTATATGAATAAATCATATAACATCATTACCAGGACGTGACCAGGATAATTTATTGATATTTCTATAGGATCTTTCTAACGGTAATAATTAGCCGTATGAAATATTATTGTGATCGTCATGTTCGGTAGGAGCTTATTTACGTTGTGTTTATTTAGTAACTTGATTATTTTAGGTGTATCTTGGATAGATCAATATTCACTAGTCGTGGTATAAGCCAGAGATAATGCCAGATTGCTTTCTTATTAACTAATTCCGACTCGCTTGAGACGGGCTCAGAGTATATAGTATACTCCCTTTCACGCTTGTAAAGGGCTCACAATATAATTTAAAACTAATATCCCTTCTCTATTGAAAAGGGCTAACATCAATTTTACATACTCGATACAAGTCAACAACCGAAGTCGCGCATGTCAATGCGTGTAAACATCATAATAGCCGACGACAAATCCAGTCTTCGTAAATGTACGTCAATACGGTTTTGGGTATGTGTTGATAATCAGGCACTCTGGCCCTATGATATAATAAGCCCTCCATAAGCGCCACCACTTTTGCCAGATCGCCGCGACTGCAGACGTGATTGTTAGTGCTTTGACATCACCAAAAAATACAACGTTAGCATGACACTGATGTAAACGCATATGCTCCACCAACCATTGCAATAGTCAGATATAGCCATAGTTGTGATTTTTATATTTAGCCATCAGAAGGGTTTATAATTGGCAACATATATAGTGTATTTTCGATCAAGTTTGTCTCACTCGCAAGCAAGTTGCCATTGTTCGTTCAAACGGTGGGAACTTTACTGAGATTCGTTCATATTGTTAAAACGTATACGGGAGGTCAGACAGTCTGCAGTTCCGTCATCAGGAATCCGACTTGGACAAATCTACTGAGATGTGCATCAAACCTAAACGCAGACTCGGCCACTATGAATAGCGTCGTCCCCCAAGCAAATGTCGCAAGACGCAATGTCACTAAATGCAACATGCATCAATACAACTATCGCAGGTCAACACGCCAATATACAGCCTATCCGCATACACAGCAAACGTCATCACCTGGAACCTCCGTCAACCAGAATCATACTATGCAATGATATTAGGCGCAGATCACCCCGCAACTACCACAAGACGCATTACTGCATAAAGCCGCACGCATCAATGTGACTATCGCGAAGGTGGCACACCCTCACACCACACCAATATAACTCCAATCAACTTCGGCTCCAAAGTTTAGAATATGCTCGGAACACCCGAAGTGTCCACAACATACTCTTTCACGATCCGAATGATAGTCGACGTATCATAGCGTAAACACTAAGTCGCAAACCACCAACGGACCCCACCCCAGTCAAGCAATAGCCAACGTATCATAGTGGAATTCACTATGACGCAAGCCACTACCAGACTCCCCAAAGTCAGATGATCAGTCGACGTATCACAGTGTAACACATTAAGACGCCAACTACCACCAAACTCTTACTATGCCGAATGACAGCTAACGTATCATAGTGATGGTGACTAAGACGCCAACTATCATCAGCTATCGATGATATGTACACCACTCAAGATTCCACATTTACCGTAGACCATATTGTACAGAAGTTCCACGTAACTCCATAGTAATATCTCTTATAAAGTCCCAGGTCATTCATTGCTCTTAGTTATATTTAAATATTTATTATTTTTTCTCTGAGCCTTCACATATAATCACTTTTATCCATTAGACCTTACTTCCATATGATCTTGGTATGTGACATTCATACAATGTACTTTCACTATAGTACTAAGAGTCGCGATCGACCTCTGTACTTATATATGTACGGTCGTACAAATGTGTCTCCGCGCGTACATAATACTTCCCTTAGAAATCACTAAATAAGGATTTGTATTTTATTGACATAATAGTGATCGTATCTTTCTATATTTTTAATAAATGCCCTTTTTTGAGTATTTTAAATTATATTTAACTATTTTTAATCAATTTCTAATAATATCATTTTCTCATACTAACACTTATATTTCTATAATTTAAGTACATATTATTATAAACTTTTATTGTGATTAAACGTTCTTAAACTTCTTATTTTCATTTCAATTGATCTTTATTAAGTAAAGTAAAGTAAAAGTAAAGTAACAGCCTATACATGTCCCACTGCTGGGCAAAGGCCTCCTCTATACAGAGGGTATCAGGGCATAGTCCACCACACGGCCCCACTGCGGATTGGCGGACTTCACATATCTTCGAAATATATATATTTTTTGTTATTATTTCGAAAATATGCAGGTTTCCTCACGATGTTTTCCTTCACCGCGGAGCACGTGATCTTTATTATGATTAATTAATAATAATGTTTATTAACAGGACGTTACACTACCAAAGACAATGCACTCTTGTATGTTCGGAAATATTCGTGCTAGTGGTAGTGATTCTCTTCACAATAGTGTTATAGAGAAATAGTTAGTGCTTGCTACCGCCGGGCGTAGTAGTACATTAGTATCCGATAAGCAGATGAATTTTTTGTTGAAGTTAAGTGTTCAATTTGGAGTTCTTGTGTAGTAATTAGTTGAGTTTCGATATGTTATGTTTAAATGACGTATATATTATATTATGACTGAGTTCTTAAGAATTATACTGGTGTACTTTTTCAATTAAAACTTTCTGTATAATTTGTTATACATTTGAATATATAATGCCATTTGATAAAATCACTTAAATAATCGTCTTTCACGTTATCAAATTTATATATTCATTTAGGATAGCTTAACAAATTGAGCACTGGCTTACTTCAATAATGTAAAAATCGGTGCTTATTATAATTAGGTATAACCACAAAGTATAATGGATAGT